TGCGACTATGTCTGCCAGTAGGCATTCAAGAAGGATGACTTCGGGGCGCAGTTCGTTTCATAGCGCGATGTTCGTTGATATATATGCATTGACTTGTAGTTGAATAGCATATATATCAACGAACACAACGCAATGAAACGCCCTTTGCCCCGAACACATCCTCCCTGAATGCCTACTGGCAGACACAGTCGCACATCGCGACCCGGTGATGCGGTAGTGAGTATGATACACTGGTGAGCCACTGCGTCATACCTCATATTCAATGAAACGATATGCATATCTGTCACAGCTTACTCACAGACTCTGTGTCAATCCAGTTACGGTTGTCAAACGGCTACACCACCATCAACTAGACAAACTACAGCCAAAGAAAACAACTCAACAAGTACAACAACCACAGACAGCAAAAGACTCAGCCCCTCGATAGTCCAGTTCGCCCTCCCCTGAAATACAGGGTCACGGGAACTGCCAACACCTGCCGGTAGCCACAAGTCCACCCCGGACATCAGGCATTGTATATAGCAATAGCGTGTAAACAAATAAAGATACCTAAACCCTAAACCCTAAATCCGGTCGAGTAACTCAAGTAGATAATATACAGCCCCCGACAATACAGACTGTGAAAGAGATAGGTAGGCTCCATCGCCTTCCGCATACAGCTACACGCAGCCTGCACAACACAACCGAGTACATACAGCTAGCGCATGCCACACTCCGAGTACATACGGAAGTCCAACTATAAACATACCAGCTCTTGGGTAGAAACAGCATATCACCCGGCCCCAGTACTGCGTGTAGTCCCCTTGCATCCCGGTATAGCGGATGGTTTTGAAGATCGGGATCACGCACGTCTATGGGACTGAAGTTGTTGAGCGGATTGTCGGCTGTGGCTCGCGGGTGCGCGCGGGCGTACAGCAACTCGGTATCGGCGGGTGAGAAGATCTTGATGTACTTGTAGCCGGCAATCTGGAGGGGTGAAGAATCAATTTAAAGTTAGTGTGATGTTAGTTCGTAATTAGTTGGTGTACATGTAGCCGACAATCTGGAGGGGTGAATGGGTTCAGTTTTCCAAAGCCACATGCATATCTGAACTATATAGCTGGCGTCTTCTATTGTATATGCGTACAGTACATCCATGGCACCTCCATACGATAAGCAGTCAGACACGCTATTGAGTGTATGACCAGATAGCAGGAGAGTGGTTCCGATTTTCTATAGCTAGATGCATACCCCAACTTGATAGCTAAATGCACATCTCAACTAAAGAGCAATATATATACCTGAACTACATAGCTATATACATACCTAAACCAGTAGCTATATACCTGAACTATATAGCCGGAGTCTCTATTATATACATGTACAAGACAATTATGTCACCACCATACAACCGACATTTCAGGTCCTCATTGTGTCTTGGGTCCGTACAAGTAGATAAAGAGAGACATATACACAGGAAAAGCCAAGGGCATACCTGGGCTAAGAAGTTGTTGTCCTCGTCTGTGTGTAAAGCGGTGACTGTGCCCACCGTGCCACACCACGCATTGACCATCTTTAAACTGCCTGTTATGGTATAGGAAGTTAACAGGTTAACTAGCCGTTTGAGAGGTTAACAGTTCAGGGTTTCAGAGGTTAACTACGGTTTGGGGGGTTATCAGAATAACTAGGGTTCAAGAAGAAAACAGGTCAACTGGGGTTTAGCGGGGTAACAAAATAACTAGGATTTAAGAAGAAAACAGGTCAACTGGGGTTTAGCGTATGGTAACAAAATAACTAGGATTTAAGAAGAAAACAGGTCAACTGGGGTTTAGCGGGGTAACAAAATAACTAGGATTTAAGAAAACAGGTCAACTGGGGTATTAGAGGTTAACTGGTCAAATAGGGTTTAAGTAGTTAACACATCAACTAGAGTTTAGGGGGCTAACAAATTAACTAGGGTTTAAGTAGCTAACAAGTCAACTAGGTTTCAAGTAGTTGACAGGTTAGCTAAGATTTAGGAGGTTAACGGCTGCTCGAGACGAATGACTACAACAGCGTCTAGCTGTACTATCACACAGTTGCACGTATGCTTTGTGGTATTGAGAATATGCTGAGCAAATGCAGTTACATACTTTAACGGGTGTACAGTGGTGCCAGGGCTATAACTGGCACTGACCATTAAATGTTAAAGAGGCCGCTGTTGTGATATAGTCTATCTACATATTCAGTGGTAAAAGTACACTCTAAAGATAAGTCTCCTTGAATGCTACAGACATACAAGTACATCGAAGAGTACACGAACACGCCTAGAATGTATATATAGACCCCATATCTAGTGGTACAAGACCAATATAAAGCCAAGTATCACTGAATGCTACAGACATATACGTATTTCAAAGGGTATACAAACACGCCTATAATTGCCTATATGGGCCTCATATTCAGTGGTACAGTTTCAATATAAAGCCAATCATCACTGAATGCTACAGACATAAACGTATCTCAAAGGCACAAAAACGCACCTAGATTTGCATATATAGGGCCCATATTCAGTAGTACAATTTGAATATAAAGCCAATCATCACTGAGACCTACCTATCTCAAACGGTACAAAAACGCACCTAGGTTTACATATATGGGGTCCATATTCAGTGGTACAATTACAATATAAAGCCAATCATCACTGAGACATACGTATCTTAAACGGTACAAAAACGCACCTAGGTTTGCATATATGGGGCCCATATTCAGTGGTACAATTCCAATATAAAGCCTATCATCACTGAGACGTACGTATTTCAAACGGTACAAAAACGCACCTAGATTTGTGTACATTGGTACAGAGAACAGGTCCTGCATCGGCCGTATCTGCTGAAACAGGTTATGCTGTGATATGTACCCCACATGCGGGAATGTGTGCACCTGTTTCTTTGCACCAGGGCCGGCCTGGGCAGGATTTTGCACATCTGCCTGGTGGTCGCACCAGTCTTGGCTGGGCTTTAAGTGGTCGTCAATGAATTGAGAGAACAGTATAGTTTTCAGCTTACCACTGCCTCCTTTCTGCTTCATGTCCGTGGCTTGATCCGCTGATAGACGGAAACGTCGGAACAATGAAAGTCGTGTACGAATGAGTATGTATTTTTATGTATGTGTATATGTATATGTATATATATATATGTACATGTATATGTGTATGTATATGTATATCTGTATGCATATGCATATGCATATGCATATGTATATGTATATGTATTCTGTATATATATATATATACCTAAATATTCATATCCCTGCAAAGCACCTTACCCACTCATAAACACGCATTGACACACTCCAATTACCTTCCTCCACGTGAGCGCACGTGTCTCCCTCAATAGGAACGGTGCGGTGGCCATATCTCAGTTTCATTTCTTCAAGATCCGACAACACTTTCAACCCTGCATGTTATGAACCAAAAGCACGACAGTCACGGGCAGGAAGAAGTAGGTATATCCAAAACCAGCTCGAAGACACAGGCCTAGATACGTAGTCGTTATATAGTCGATATATCATACGTATATCTGACATGAAACCAATACTGACTGATGTATACAAGTCTTTCACCTGCCCACTGCGTATGGGGCAAATGGCTCTGGCTGAGTGTAGGGATACCCACACGCACGTCCTCGGTATAATACTGAGTCACTGACGCACCCTCACAGGTAGTGCAGGTGTAAGAATATACGGACACGCATGTGCGAGCGAATAGGTGGATGAAAGGTACATACGAGACTAAAGCCACGATTATAACATATACAGACAAGGAATTGGCCTGGTATCTTACCATCCCACCGAGTGTGGTGCGGATGGCTCTGGACCAATACAGGCCTACCGACACTCGAGTACTCGGAACAAACCTCTGCCCTCGCCAAATGGTCGCAGTTAAGAGGCATATGAAACATTATGATGATAGATATGATACAATGCAAGTACAACACGACTGTCACATATATATGATATGAAACAGTATGATAATACATATGATATAATGCAAGTACTACACGACTGCATCATATGTACGATATGAAACAGTATGATAATACATATGATACAATGCAAGTACAACACGACTATAACATATGCATGATATGAAACAGTATGATAATATATATGGTACAATGCAAGTACAACACGACTGTAACATATGTATGATATGAAACAGTATGATGATACATATGATATAATTCCAGTACAACACGACTGCATCATATGTACGATATGAAACTGTATGATAATACATATGATATAATAAAGTACCACACGACTATAACACATGTACATTACGAAACAGTATGATAATACATATGATATAATGCATGTACAACACGACTGCATCATATGTACGATATGAAACTGTATGACAATACATATGATATAATGTAAGTACCACACGACTATAAAACATGAACGATATGAAACAGTATGATAACACATATGATATAATGTAAGTACCACACGACTATAACACATGTACGATAACACATATGATATAATGCAAGTACAACACGACTATTACACATGTACGATATGAAACAGTATGATAACACATATGATGTAATGCCGAGTACAACACGACTGCATCATATGTACTCGTAGATAGAACTGCTTACATGCATACATGCCTCTCACCTTCCCACTGCGCGTGGTGCAGATGACCTTTCACAATCACAGGTCTACCCGCACTCAGGTACTCCGAATAGAACTTTGTCATCGTAAACTCCTCACAGTTGATGGTGGGTATGTCAGTCACCGCACCAGGGTAGATAGGCGGTTTATAGCTACCCGCACTAGGTGTACCTAGCGTATCTCTACCTACACCTTCCCCTGTGCTGGAGTCCATACTCGTATCGAGATGTGTGGGGGAATCGGTACGGGCTTGTGTGTGTCTACTGCAGTGGTCTGTGTTCGTATCTGTTCTCTCGTCACTGTAAGCGTCGGAGGGGTTTAGAACGACCTCCAGAAGTGAGACCATCCAGCCGATCACCTGCAAACAAATATACACATCAGATACGTTGGGTTGGATTAGGAAATAGTTTGGTAGGTAGACGCATAAGAGGCATACAGTTTCGTCGGTAGACGCTTAAGAGGTATACGGTTTGGTCGCCCGCACACAGTAGAAATAAGACAGCAAATAATTAAGTGCCACCTACTAACCAAGTCTCGTTTCTCTCACTCGACGATGCTTCGGAATTGGACGTACATTTATATATATATATATATATATATATATATATATATAATATATATATATATATNTATGTATATATATATATTATATACTATATATATATATATATATATATGTGTGTGTGTGTGTGTGTGTGTGT